GTCGTCATGAAAGGTAATGCCGGAACGGCGGATCAAACAATGAGCCCCCTTTTGAAGTCGATAACTATAACAGTAATGAAAAATTCGGCCGAGAAAAAATAGAGAACTCTACGAGACACAACGATAAAGGCTATCATGATACAGAGAGCATTTGGAGAAAACTGATTTATCGGGATGCTGTACAAATCACTTATCTCCAAAAGCTCGACTTGGATAGAAAAGTGGAGGCCAAAAATGACTTGGTCGGCAAAAAAAGTATGACAGCCCTGCGGGGGGCAGGTGAAGTCATTATCAGGGCTGGAGAAACCAACTCCCAATCGGAAGGAAGCCCGCTGAATTGCCTAAAGCTCTCGAATTGAGCCGCAAAAGCGTAAGAAAAAGGGTTTAAAGTGGCCAATTTGGCCCCAAGGCAGGCTATGGATACAATCTCGCGAGGGTCGACAAGAGGAGTAATTATTGATATAGGTACAGGACTGGTACTATATACAGGAATATCTAACAACCTAAGGGAATACCTCGAGGAATCAAGCCGAGGCGAGGAGAATCTCCCCGCGGACTCCTTGAGACCTCTACTAGGCCACCATCTAATAGAGCCTGATCATACTCAGCCCAGTCGACCTTCGGGGTAGAAGTGCGCGATGAAGAAGGAGAAGCGTTAACCATCTTATAACCTACTATCTCGACTGAGCCTGAGTCGGATTGGTCGAGGCCCCTATCGATCAATTTGTCGAGTGTGTCAGGCGAAGAGCCGGAATTGGAAGCTCAAAGAAAAAGAATCAAAAGTGAAGATCAGGCATCACAAAAAAAAAAAATCAAACAAAGCACAATCGACTCACCCAAGTCGACGAAAATACAAAGGAAAGAGAAAGTAATATGGTGTGATTTGTTGAAAACATGACGGCAAACCGACATGAGGCCAACTCGAGGGAAGTACAGAAAGGAAGAAAACGAGTGTTGATAAGAATCGACATGATAAAAGCCGACAAGTGGTTACACGCTGTAACTTAGCCACACGTTAACAGCTAATTAAAATAGAGAATGTGAACACAAGATTCAACACAAAATCTTCAGGAGAAAATTCGAAGAACGCGAAGAACATGAAGAACGCACAAAGGTGCAGATGCTAGAGTAGTATACCCGGTGTTCCAATCGGATTGGATGTATTCTACTTGTAAATACAATCTATTGGAATTATATTAAATAATAAAGCATTACTTTATCTTAAGAGTAAGCATTTATTATATATTTGCACTTAAGATAATGTCCCTAGATCACTTATAGCTATAAGATATGGTTGCGCATAGAGATGGTGATCATGGAACATATATTGAAAGCTGTGATCTGAAATACAGTTCCAAGTCGTTGGATGTTTCGAGATGGGATATCAAATAAATCCGGAAAAGACTTGCACATAGTATGTATGCTTATTAGATAAGAATGTTGCATTCCATCAACATTAGCGTGGGACGCAAATACATATATGTGGGTGCTTGTTAGAGAACAAGTTCACTGAACAGGACCGTGTGAAAATTCTTAATGAAAGTTTATCATGTCGAATAAGAATTTCATGTTACAATAGTACATAATTAATCCTTAGACTTGAGGCACGATGGTAACTTTGTGCACATTATATTTTACTTTGATTTATCCTTTTGATTGCTAGCACAATTAGGGGTGAGCATCGGTCGGTTCGGCCCAAAAACCGAACCGAACAAAAAAAACCGAAAACCGAAATTGTAATAGCATAGCAAACCGAACCGAACCGAATAAGCATTAAAAACCGAACTACTTGGCCATTGCATTAAGCTATTAATAACAATCTCATTTTGCAAATGTTTAACAAATAACAGAAACTACACAGAATGACCTGCTCAAATCAACATTCAAAAAGTAAGCTCATTTTAGTACTCTACAAAGCAAATAACAGTAACCACTAACCAATGACCATAAAAGTAGTACACATACATTGATAATTGATTACATTCCAAAATATCATTCATATCATCAGTCATCACCACCAGGCAAAACTCAATTCCATAACATAGGTCCACATTCCACAAAAACCATACGTTTAATAACCGATAAGCAATGAAAAAAAAAAGCAAAAAGATGCAATTGAATCCCAATAGCATTCCATAAAAATAGCAAAACCGCAATGAAAAGAACAAAAGAGCAGCAAATCATCAAAGCAAGAGCGAACAAGAAACAGCAGCAGCAGCATAACAGACACTGGACAGCATCACATCACATAACAACAGGCAGCAACAACAGCAAACTTAGTCTCATGTGTTTATTGATGGCCCGATACCCACATTTGGTAACTCTACAACATAAAACAAAATGCAAGAAGTATATTACGATATCGAAATTCAAGATTAAAAAAATAAGTAAATAAATAAAATGAATTACCTTTTTTAGAGGTTTCAACCTCATCCTGTATTTCTTCGACGCTTAAAGGCTTATTTGAACCTCGAAGCCAATCTTGTGCACATATCAAAGCTTCAACAATCTTTGGAGTTAATGAACTCCTAAACACATTAAGAACCCTTCCACCGGTACTAAATGCAGATTCTGAAGCCACGATTGAGATTGGGACTCCTAAAATATCACGTGCCAATCGCGAAAGAATGGAAATCTTCCTGAATTAATTTTCCACCACTTCAACACATCAAGATCCTCACAATCCTCTAAGACCTCCTCGTCCAAGTAAACTTGTAGCTCAGTTTTTTTTATTCTGCCACTTCCACTCTCTAATTTATGTTTCTCATATCGAGCTTTCAGTCTATTCACTGGCTTCTTCATGACTTTTTCAGAATTGAAATCATCAATCACATGAGAAACAGAACTAGAGCTCCCTCGATTATCATCTTCAACATTTGGCTGGTATTTTCTTTCATATTCTGTGAACAACTCAAAGAGTCCATTTTTTACACTTTCAAACAATGCAACACCCTGTTCAGCCCCGTACATCTCGCTAAGAGAGTACTCCATGAACTCAAATTTATCACGAGGATCAAATACAGTTGCCCAAAAGATTATTCTGTTCATGCTTTCTGAATCCCCCCAATATTTATCAAATTTTGATTTCATCGATGTGCCCAAGTCTTTGATTTCATAATCATCACTTCCTTTCCATTCATTCAAAATGCAACACAAATCGCTAATTTCATTGAAAAAAGTATGAGAAGTGACATATAATGAACCCGAATGCGCAATGTCATCTCATAAAAATGTTTCAGTAAGTCTGAAATTTTTTTCACAGCAGACCAATCAAAAGATGTTGGGACTCCATGTTTTGCTAAATCAGTTGCAAAATAAGGTTCTTGCTCTTCAAATCTATCAAATGCTTTTTCAAACTGTGCAGCCGTTTTTAACATAAGATATGTAGAATTCCACCTTGTAGCCACATATAGACATAAAAAGCTCTTACTCTCGATACCTTCCCAATCAACACAATCTTTGAACTTTTTAAGTCTAGCAGGTGAATTTCTGATATATCTTACTGCTTCTCTCACTCGCTTCACTGAAGGTTTGATATCTTTTAGGCCTTCGGTAACAACTAAATTAATTATATGTGCAATGCAACTCATATAAAGGAATTTGCAATTAGCCACACTACCACCCCAGTTCAACATTCTCCTTTTTAAGAAGGCAATAGCTACATCATTTGAACTTGCATTATCTACAGTGATTGTAAAAATATTCTTTAATCCCCAATCGAGAACACAAGCTTCTATCGCCTTTCCAATGCATTCACCTCTATGGCTAGTAACAGGCACAAAATTCAAGATTTTTTTATGTAAGTTCCAGTCATTATCAATGAAATGAGTTGTGATGCACGTATAGTTAATTTTCTGAACAGAAGTCCAAGTATCAGTTGTCAGACTGACTCTTTGGCAATTATTTTTCATAAAATGCTTCAACTTCACCCTCTCATCAGCATACAATTGAAAACAATCCCTTGACATAGTCCATCTTGATGAAATTTTAAACCTAGGGCAAGATTTAGACATGACTCGGCGAAATCCTTCCCCTTCCACAAACTTAAATGGCAATTCATCAACAATGACCATGTATGCAACAGCTTTTCGAATTTCATCTTGATCAAATTTCCAAGCAGCAAGTGTATTCTTACCATCATTATCATTACATGGTTGCAAATTTAACAGGGTTTGTCAGGTTCAGACTCCAAGTTCCCTTTACATGCAGCCATGTGTTGTTTTAAAGATGAAGTCCCATTTCTTTTCGAATGACAAGAATAAACTTTTTCACAGGCATTGCACTTAGCTGAAATTAAATTACCATTCTCATCCTCATTCTGCGTGAAGTACGACCAAACAACTGATCTTGGTTTCATGCGTTTTCTTTTTGTTCCTTTTTCAGCACCACTCTTGTTTGAAGCTACATCAGCACCCTCAGCCTCATGTTGTATATTGGCATTTGAGGCTTCAGAGATGTTTTCCATATGCCAGTCTAATGGCTCCATTCTTGATTTTTCTGTATGTATACAAGAAAAACAAATTTTATCACTCAACATTCAACAATCAACAACATAAAAACAGAAAAAAAAAACAAATAAACTACTTATCCTAACTCAAGTCTCGAACATTTTGACAAAAAAAAAAAGATCAACTGATTTAGGATTAAATTTAAGAAACGCTTTGAGTTGAAAATCCCCAAATTATTGGGCTGAATATTTTTCGAGATTGACCTAGAGATTCGAGAGAAATCAAGAGCCGCGAGAGAGAGAGAGAGAGAAAGAGAGAGAGAGAGAGGCAAAGGGAGAAGATTTGAGAGAAGATTGACATTACCTGAACGAACCCGATGAGTGATGATGCAAAGGTCCAAAGGAAGCTGATGGCGGCTGAGATCTGTGAACTGTGAGAACGAGGGAGTGAAAGAGGACGCCAGATAGAAAGTGAGATCTGATATTGTGAAATGTGATTATTGATTAGGCTTTTTAGATAAAATAATGTTTGTTTTTTATTTATTAAAATCATACCCACATGATTTATTATACGCATGATATATCAATTTGGCTTTTAAATATGGATCTGATCTTTTGTCTATTGGGCCTACACTCCTAACTTCTAATTCCTATTAAAATTTATTAATTACTTAATTAATTCAATTCGGTTCGATTTAACCGAATTTTTATTTTTGAAAACTGAACCGAACCGAAAAAACCGAACTTTTTTAAAATAAAAACCGAACCGAATTATATAACATAAACACCAAACCGAATAATGTTATTCGGTTCGGTTCGATCGGTTCATTCGGTTTTAACCGATTATTGCTCACCCCTAAGCACAATCGTATAAAGGGATATTTTGGGTATTATATTAATATGTATGGAAGTTTGTCAGTGGCCAACAAAGGATTCGACACTTATGAATATAAGTGAACTTCCTATGTGTTTCATAGTTAGTAATTCAAAGTCCTTGGCCAAGGCGGGATGAATAGAGATTCATAAACGAATTACTAAAACTTGAAATGGAATCATAATTATTAAATCA